GTATTGTTCCACATCTTATAAAAGAGGACAGGGTAACTTATTGAGTGACTGTTATTTTCAGCAGTAGCTACCTAGTTAAAATAGCATCTTTTCTCAGTTTCTTGATAAAAATATTCAGTGCATAAATTCAAAGAGAAAGAGTGCTGTGCTTATGGCGACACACTCTTTAAGATTACATCTAAAATTCAAGCTCCCAAGGACCAGGCTCAGAAAATATATAAACTTTTGTTTAATAGTTTGGAAGTCTGCATTTATGATTCCTCATTTATTTGCATTAGAATCTCCAGGCCATCTGTTCCTCTGCATTTTGTACATTCGCTAGAGACTTAACAACATATTACTTAAATGCATTAGGAAGTCAATGATTATTTTAACCAAGCGAAGTGATCTTTTTTTTTTCCTCATGAATTCCCATCCAGAGACATTTCTTACATCTTAAGTTAACGGAAATGATTTACATTCATTACAAACATACAGCCTGCAGGCGCTGTTTAGAATCCCAATTAAGGCTGACATTTGCGGATGAGCTGTGTAGGTGTGTACTAATATAAGCCAATATTAGCCAAATGAATCTCGTGGGAAAATACAGTTCTTTGCCTCTGCCATGACATTCGGTGAAGGCTTCTCAAATGTCTGATAATGAAAACACGCTATTTGTTTGAAATAAAACTGGTTTCAGGCTTTATTATGATGAGCTGTTTTACTTTGTAGCATTAAGGTAATCCACTGACTTTAATTAAAGTTTCCATTATATTACCACATTCATTAGGGTACATATCTTTTGGTGCTTTTCATTTTCTATTCTTTACAAAATGATTTCCAAACTTGAGGCGGCAAATAAATATATTGTATTTTTTGGAGTATAAGACTCAAATGGGTGGAAAATGGGGCATGCAGAGGCCAAAAATGGGGTGTGCAGAGGCTGAAAATGGGATGTGGAGGTTGAAAATGGGCCGCACAGCGGGCAATCTGGTATGGCAATCCCTTTGGCCTGAAACAGGTGGTGATTGGGAGGCAGATCCAACCGACAATCAGCTGCTTGGGCTAATCAACTTGTTCTGAAGCTGAAACTGAAACAGGCTGTTCACTGTTTGCTGCAAGGAGGCAAGTTGATGGGAGGCAGAGACCAAAGGGTGGGGGCTGGCGGGTGGGCAGGGCTACATTCGGTGTATAAGACGCACTCAAATTTCCACCCTCTTTTATGGAGGGTGGAGTGGATCTTATAGTCCGAAAAATACAGTAATAATAATTATGATAAATAATTAAACTTTACAAAGTTTCTAAGCCAGCATTTAGGAAGAGCTTCTATGAAGCTGTAATGGAATTTGAGAATGATCTTGGAAATGTTGCTAGGGCATAGTCAGTTAAGAGAGGGTGAGCCCACAGCTGCATAAAGGAACAGAGAAAGAATAATAGAAAGGATCCAGCCTTCCTTACTAGGCACTGGTAAAAAGAGATGGTGGGAGATTTGTACCTTCAGACTTGGAAGATTCTGTTAATGTAGCCTTGCAATAAAGTAGAATTAACTCATTTTGTCAGGTTTCCCATCTGGTCTCTTTGGGATGCTGGCAGATGTTTAGGAACAGTTTATGTAATCTGAATAAATCTTCCATTTGCTTAGCCAGGGAGAATCCTTGCTCTATTCTTCCACCTATCAGCTGCGAATGTTGCATTGTGCTGCACTGCATCATAAGATTAGGATTGGCAAGACTAGACATATTCAGTCCTTAAAATAAAAAGAACCATCTAAAAGAGGTTAAATATCTTCCTTTGCCAATCAGACTGGGGCAATCAGCTTCAGAAGAAAGAGGAAGGAAAGCATGAGGTTTAGAACTCTTCCTAGAGTTTAGAAAATACATCCAAAACCTTACATGTAACTTAACTTGGAGGAAGATTTCTCAGGACAGGAGGAGGAAAAGATTTTTGAGCATTGGAGTCTGACCAGCTGTGTCCAAGAACTTGAGGAAAACTCAAGAACTGGAGACCTTTTGGGTGGAAACTCATGTGGATCAGTTGATGATTGATAGATGATAGATAGATAGATAGATAGATAGATAGATAGATAGATAGATAGATAGATAGATAGATAG